CGGGCGAACTTGGTACTTCTGTTATACAGTAACTAGTTTATGAAGGCTTTAGTATATTAAAAACTGTATTATGAGATTCTATAACCATGGCCACAATGTGGCTCATCCTAATAAAAACTTTTGTAATATTTTTGAAGAAGAAAAAGAAAGCCTAATATGAGCCATTTTCCGTCTAGTGGTGACACTAAAGCATAAAATTACAGTCCTTAGCACGTTCCGCAAAAAGCATTTTGGAACCCCCGGATATTTAGAGGAATAAGCGAGCAGACGTATTTTTTTTTGCTTAAAAATCAGCTGACTCATGCCCTGAAAGTATACCTCAATTTTTATGCCATCCTTATCGGTCCATGAGTCACCAGGTACCGGTCGAAACAAGTCGACGAGCTGCACCGTATAGTACAATGTCTGTCCACCTTTTATGTCATCACGTTCTCGGCCACCATCACCGAAACCCAAATTGGACGGAATGACCACTTTGCGTTTTTCTCCAACACACATGCCGGTCATTGCTCGATCCATTCCACTGATTACTTGATTTTTACCAAGCGTAAACACATAACTGAAAATGATTTAGAATACTGAGGTTCAGCATGATAAATAGGTGGATAATACGACGAAGGAAGCAGCGAAGAAGGAAGAAATCTATCACCAAAATACCAACGTCGCTCGGACAGTCAGTGTGGAGGTGCCATTTTAGTGGCATAAAATATCTAGTATAGAATAATCATATTCTTTGCTTCAAAAGTTTATAAAATCTTTATGTGAATGATTGGGTAATTAGGTGAAAATTTTAGTTACTTGACTAAGTAGTTCAGTGAGTAATTATGCAGGCAAGGAATTAAGTAAATAAAAAGTTTTAAACATAAAATTTTTACTTATGAAACATTACTGATCGCGAAATAATTACTGAAAATGACATAATAATTATAAATAGCTATTCTGGCTGCAAAAATGCTTCTGTCTCTTATAAATTATAAAATATTTTTATTTTTTCCCTGAAATAGTTTTGGTATATTTGTTGGTAATGTAAAACATAATTATTAGAGTAGCCAAGAAACTCCGGGATGTTGATATGGAAATTCGATATTACTGAGTCGCATCCAAGCATGAATGCAGAAATGCTAGATCCTTTTGTCTTGAACTATGATTGCCCTTAACATCCTTCGCCTGCGTATGTGCGTCTCTTCGAAGGTTATCGAAGTAGTTTTTTTTTCCTCCTTCTCAGGTATCGGCCACCGATATGCGACACTCAGAGTCTACATGCAAAATAAAAACTGGTCACGCCTGGAGCGCTTTCATGCTCCTGAAGTTTTAGAGCAAAATCCTGAAACCCTCTGTCTTTTTTTGCTCTCTTAATTTCATACACTTTAGCTTAATCATGTCCTCAGGAACTTTTTGGCGAAAGAAATACTAGAGGAGCGACTTTTCGGATGACCTTACGGTTTCTTGCCGAAATTCGATCCAATTTCTCGCCCATCTTTATCCGTTAGTTTATAAAACTGCTCGACAATATCACCCGGTTGACTTTTCAGTTTGCATTTTTCCGGCTTGATTGGTCTTATTATTTTTACCTGAAATGTAATATAATATACTAATGAAGCACTGTATCCACTTCACACACCCGTAATAAGGAATTTTTGAAAACCCTAACTGTAAACACAGAGAAAAGTCGAATGCTGCTTTTAAAAATCCAGAAATGTATTGAACAAGTAGCAGTGCGCGGCAGGGTAACCGGTGCGATCATGCGTTTCGCGTAGTTTTGTCCAGCAACGTTTGTATGCGAAGGACTTTCACTGTTTTACAGTCTGATTTTTGCAAAATAGTCGATATACTGTTGTTTCTAAGCTCCGAAGTTTGCCACCAAAAATTTCACATACCGCCACGTGAAGCGCAAGCGTACGTGAGACTGAATTAGAAACCTTGGATCGTAGACGGGGACATCTTTCCAAAATTTCAGTTTCCTAGTTTTCTGGTTTCCGAATTACTGACTTTCGCGCCAGTACAT